GGCAATTCTCCTGCCTCAGCCTCCTGAGTAGCTGGGATTACAGGCACGTGCCACCATGCCCAGCTGATTTTTTGTATTTTTAGTAGAGACGGGGTTTCACTATGTTGACCAGGATGGTCTCGATCTCTTGACCTCGTGATCCACCCGCCTCGACCTCCCAAAGTGCTGGGATTACAGGCTTGAGCCACCGCGCCCGGCCGCTTTTCTTTTTTTTAAAGCTTGAATCTAGATTCCTTTCTTAGTTTGTATCACTGAGTGACTGCCACCTTGACCATCCCAGCAGAAGACTGAAGATTGTTTGTGACACTGAGGGTGGGCACTAGACACAGTTGGAGATCAAGTGTTCTACAGAAAACACTGAATTAAGTTAAAGTGCTCAATATCGAGATCCTTACTGAGGCCTCTTGTCTTTGGCTTCTAGAATTCTGGCAATCAACTAGGAATTTAGAGGATAGTTCTCTTACTGGCCCAAGAAGAGAATGTATGTTATTTTCAATAGCTTGTATGGCCCTCCTTTTAAATATGAGGAGATAATAGAGGATCACCAGACATAGGACGAAAACTTCTCATGTAAGAAACCAAAAGAAATAAAAAAGGAACAGTCAGAACAACAAAAAAAGGCTCAATAGAAGACTCAATAGAAAGGTTCAAGTTAGAGTGAAGGAGACCTTTTATAAAGTAGAGGAAAGGTGGAAAATAAGTGAGAAAAGAAAATTTACTGACGCCTGTGATCTAGCACTTTGGGAGGCCAAGGCGGGCAGATCATCTGAGGTCAGGAGTTCGAGACCAGCCTGACCAACATGGAAAAACCCCTTCTCTACTAAAAATACAAAAAAAATTAGCTGGGCTTCATGGTGCATGCTTGTAATTCCAGCTACTTGGGAGGCTAAGGCAGGAGAATTGCTTGAACCTGGGAGGCAGAGGTTGTGGTGAGCTGAGATCATGCCATTGCACTCCAACTTGGGCAAGAAGAGTGAGACTCTTGTCTCAAAAAAAAAGAAAGAAAGAAAATTAAAAGGTCAATTGGAGGTCAACTTCCAAATAACAGAAGTAAGTACTAGTAGGCAACAGAGAAAAGAGGAAATTATCAGTAAAATATTCAAGAAAAGTAGTATTATTTCTTTGAGATGGGGTCTTGCTCTGTCGCCCAGGTTGGAGTGCAGTGGCGCGATGTCAGCTCTCTGCAACCTCTGCCTCCCGGGTTCAAGCTATTCTTCTGCTTCAGCCTCCTGAGTAGATGGGACTACAGGTGCACACCACCACGCCTGGCTAATTTTTGTATTTTTAGTAGACACAAGGTTTCACCATATTGGCCAAACTGGTCTCGAACTCCTGACCTTGTGATCCGTCTGCCTCGGCCTCCCAAAGTGCTGGGATTACAGGCATGAGCCGCCACACCCGGCCTCTATTATATTTTTTATTGTGGTAAACTGCATAAGCATAAAGTTGAACATTTTAAGAATTTTAAGCATACAGTTCAATATTGTTAAGTATATTCACATTATTGTATAACCAATCCCCAGAACTTTCTCATCTTGTAAAACTGAAACTCTATACACACTAACAACTCCCCAAGTCTCCCCTCTTCCTAGCCCCTGGCAACCGCTGTTCTTTATGTTTCTCTTTTATGTTTGTATGAATTTGTTTGCTCTCGATACCTCATATAAGTGGAATCATGTATTGTCTTTTTGTGACTGGCTTATTTCACTTAGCTTAATGTCCTGAAGGTTTACCATTTTGTAGGACATGTCAAAATTTTCTTCCTTGTTAAGGCCAAATAATATTCCATTGTTTGTATATACCACATTTTGTTTATGCATT